ACCTATATTATGCCAAGGCAGTTTATATCAGAAAAAATTTCTTGACAATATTTTTGTATTATATTTTGAGTAGATTTGATGTCAATGGCGAATTTATTACCTAATACTACCCGCCCTCTAGATATATCACTCTATACAATACACATTTACAAAAAACCACTATTTTTTAAATAGATAAAAGTAACATCTTCCTTACCAGTAAAATATTTTTCTTTCCCAGTTGTTAACTTTCATGTAAATTATATGTATTTCAACAAATAGTTCTATAAATCAGAGAGAAGGTTTTTTTTAATGTAGGTGTCATATATATAATTTCGTACATAGATCACAATATTTATAAACAAACGATGAAAAATATTATTGGAAACAAAATAATTAATTAATTAATTAATTGTATGACAAATAATCTGTCAGGAAATATTGAATATTCCAATCAGAGTTTGAAGTAACCAATATAAAGCTAGTCCCCTTCAGACTAAATTTCATGATTTTTCAATTGTTAAATAAACAAGGTTAAATGTTTTGGTTATATTTTAAAAATGCAATTGTTGCTGTTTTGGAGTAATATATTTAATGTATTAAATATATTGGAAAATACCAATCATTTACATTAATTCAATAATTTCATTATTTGCGCCCATCATATTAATTGTTTAAACTCTTTCACGATATTATAATGTAAGCAGAAAATACGAAAATTTGATCGAAAACGTGACCAAATCAGAACAAATATAGCTGTGAAATATATATATATATAGCCTCTTTGATATTCTCTTGGTGAAGCGTTAACTTGTTAGAATGTGTCTAGTTATAAAAATTATTTTTTTTTATCATTGGTTTATTAATTGAATCTTTCTAAATAGAAATTGACAACAATTCTATTTAGAATATTCATATTTATTAATGATTTTCTTTTAAAGCGGTTTAGTGCAGTTGTAAAGATAAATGGCGAACATGAGATTTGGGTGGGGTACCACAAAATTAACAAAAACAAAACTTATTGTACAATTAATATAGTTTAAATCTAGCAGTGATTACTCGTATATACTTTAATACTGATCGTAAGTAACTATTAATACAGAGTGATTTTTCCAAATAGAGAGTAATGAATCATATTCTTTTATATGTATTATATATTAGGTTACATTATATTCTATATGATAAAAGGTATTAAATCATAAGTATATTTTATAATACTTCATAAGTATTATGCATCACATCTGTGATGCAGAAATCTGTTTCAGGATAATATACCTGAACGACCCTATCGTAGAGACTGTATTATTATAATATATAGAATATAAGCATGATTATATGACAAAAAGTTGTCTTAACTCACGATGATCATTTTTACATAACAGTCCTTGAAGGACTCAAGTTTGTCGGGCGACAGTCTCCGTTTTTGCCAATTTTTTACTTTTTTCTCCAGTTGATCTATCCAAGTGATAGATTTTTTGTTATGGCGAATTGCTGATAAAGATTTCACTTTACGATTTGTGTCTGGTATCATTACCCCATAACAAGTCCATTACTTTTTCACCAATTTAATGGTAGAACAGCGAGTTTCAGTAAAAAAGAACAGCAATGCAACTATTTTTTTTGCCACTGAAAGGCCTTTGATATTGAAACTACATCAACTGTACATACATTTACTGATATACGTCATTGTTTTATTTTATCAAGTACATCATATCGCTTTCTTTCTCTCACTCTCTCTATCTTTATTATATTGATTATATTTATATCGTTTTATATTTATATTAAAAATTAATATTTTTTGTAACTATTAATTGCTCATAAATCAAAACAATAACTACTTAAGCTGTTCTCAAAGTTCTATTCGCCAAAATACTGGAATGAATGAATTTGAATACAGTATGTCCTTAAACATTTAACATAATTAACTTTAAGACATTTTAATATAACCTTCGTAACTTCGTATTATTACCAGTCTTTTTGCAAAACTCGAGACTGAAAAACGTTAAATTTCTTTTATTATTTTAATAAAAATTTTATCAAACTGCTTTTTATGATATTCATAAATTTAATACATACTAGTTTTAGTTTGTTTATTGAATTAATATTTTTTATAGCAAAAATTAATATTTAATTTTGATATAAAATCAACACACCTTGACCTCTTTTCCGTAGGGTATTCATACGTACTCACTTATGACCGACCAAGCAACGAATATTTACATGACTTTATGCAGCGAAAAAAGTGATCATCGCGCTAAAAGCTGACATTTATATTTGAGATTTTGAAGTATGACTGAAGACTCGTTGGACTTGGTAATGAAGTCGATTCTTTAAATATAATTAAAAAAGAATAAATATATAAATAGCATTTTATTAAGCGTCTTTTCCAAACTGCTTATGTTTAATTTACACACTTAGAAATCATTAAAGTAATCAAAAATCAAGTGCTCACCTCAGTTGTTGCTGATCAAGAATTCAAGAACCTTACAGACCATTCGAAGAGAAAAGTTCATGTACATTTTTTGTTTATAATTTTTTTGTTAATAATAAAACAAATATTCATATAAAACTATTTATATGCCGTTATCTAGAAACTAATAACATATTTGTGAAGTGATTCTGTAATTACTGTATTCAAATTGAGCTTGGCTGACAGTTGTAAAATTACAAAAGCCGGTACGATGACTTGTGATTCGTAGACAAATAAATATAATGGAACGGCTTGACATGAGACGTTGGACTTAAGCAATTTGAAATTGGAAGTAAATATTTCATCTTAATTTATTTACTAAACAAGTACATAAAAATGAAAATGGTCAAATGTCATTTGAGGAAATCTTCATTAAGTGGCTAAGTAGCTGTAGGCAATCAATCAAAATGAAGGATTATATAGTGTTTCTACATAAATTGCAAAGATCTAGCTTTCGCAACATGCAATGACACCTCAGCACTTTTTGATAGGATTCTAAGGCATTAAATGTTGCAACTATTGCCGTGGGAACTTATCTATTGCCAGGAGTTAATATTATTGATTCCTTTCTTTTTTTTTTGTTTTTTTTTTTTGATACTAATATTTAAGTTAAACTTACTAATTTTATTTCATATGCGTATGATTTTAGTTTTTTTCATTCAGCTTTTTTATTTATAGTATTGTTTGTCACGAAATTTTAATTGGTTTTTATTGAACAAAAAAGCAAATACCGCTCAATATAAAGTTATTAAAAATGTGATTTTACTTATTTAACACTAGAGACTCAACTTCATAAAGTTATGTCTAATGTAACTTATATATTTTTTAGCAGATGTTAAGTTGCTAAGTAGTACTGTTTTACCAGTTATCCCGTCTTATTATAGCTCACACTCATGTTGGAAAAAAAAAATTGGTTAATTACAGATAAATATTTACATCTTAAGCATCTTTTTATCGACCATTTGCTTACGTGCTTAAATATTGGTGACCCCAATAAAATTGTCGGGCGGTTTATTTGCCGATATTTGTACAGGTCAATATATATTTAACATAAAAAATATTGGATAAAATTTATAATTAATTTTAGACTTTTAGAACTTTTTAAGCTTTTAACATGTACATAGATAACATAGTCTATGGCCGTGAAGAGCATAGATATAAAAGTGCTTTAAGAACAAAAAAAAAATACCGACATAATAGAATTCAAGATTTATTTGTTTGGATATCAAATGAACTATGTCTCAAACTGATGTATATAACAATTTCTTGATAATGTCTCACGGAACTTTGCAAATGCAGTTGAAGCTGATGAAAAGCCATTCATATAAAAAATTTATTATACAAATTCTCTAGATCAGTTGTTCAGAACCTTAAGATTTTTGGAAACTAGTAAAGCCTATTATATTCATTTTTGGTGTATTATATAGCAAAAGTATGTGATGCTAGTTGAAAAAAATAGCACAAACTCAGCACGAATTCTGATATTTATGAATGAGCAAAATTTAATGGAATAATTTATATTAGAAATAATTTCAGATTTGACGTCACAGTTTGCGTAACAGGGATTTAACTTACACTAATAAATAAAAACCAGGATCACCTTTAGCGACATGGAACCGGACAGAAAGCAGCTTTGAGGCTACTTAATTCTTAGTAAGTTATTTCTAACATATTCTTTATCTTTTCATTGATTCCGCAGCAAGTCGCAGAAAACTTCAGTAGTAAGTTTGTACACGGAAGTGGTTCTCTAGTAATTAAACGTATATATAATTCAGTCATTGGTGTTTTATATCAAACATTTGATTGTAGTTCAAACCAAGTACAGTGCATATGAACATGAGCTGATCGCCTTCTATCAAATTATCCGGCAATTTTAATACGCGCTTAAAGCCGTGATTTTATTTATACAGAGCAAATGTTGGGAATTTTTACATTCCAACAGAAAAAAGCAAAAACGGCGAAAAGTTGGATTACAATACTGCAGATATGGCGGTATCGTGAGGTTTCTAAGATGCAGTGGATAGCAGATGAGCATAGCAAGCTGCAGGTGTATAAACTCCCGAGTACTGATATTAAATTGTACTCCGCTGCTTTTAGTAGCGGAATCTGGCGTTTTCTTCCAGAAAGATGCAGCTTGAATTTACTGTTCAAGAAAACTTTTTACAATTAAAATTAGATTTTTCTGATTGGAATTTTAAAATTAAAAAATAGTTGTATGCAAGTGTTTTTAAAAACGCAAAATACGTAATTATTAATGATTATTAATGTATTTAAAATTTAGAAAACTCTTAAATAAAAGCATAATTCTATCAGCAAATGTAATTTTTATTGTTACCAGCAGTTTCTAAATATTTTTCCTAAAAGAAGAATTAAAAAGTTTAAGAAATAATAAAATTAAATTATATTAATAAGAAGTATTATTATTTATTTAGTAAGATTCTTAAGATTCCATTGCCGTTATTTTGGTACTCATTGTTTAATTATAAAATATTGTCAATATTTTAAAATTATAATAGTTAATCTAAATATTAGAAATAAAACAAAGGATTTGTAAGAATAAGCAACGAGGATGAGAAGTTTTGCTGAATTTTTCCTTTCGAAAGTAAATGAAGGATTCTGTAGTAGATAAAAAGATTTTAAATGCGTGCATTTGGATCTCGATTCGTAAATGCACTACATAAGGTTGCTTAAATATTTCTCTAAAGAGTTTTCCGGTTGCTCTTTTGAGACTTTGACACCAGATATGGGCAGGACGTCACCATTTGCAATTTCTTTAGCAACGTGTACCGACCAATTGGTTAGTTGACATTCCAAACTTAACACTGATTGAGTATTGGTGTAGATTGAGGTTGTGGTCGGAATATCTTTACGGTTATCACTTTTAACTTTCAGAAAATTTTTACGATTAGAACGATTATCGCCGTGTGGTGAATTGCTGCGTTGAATGTTTGAGTCCGAATCGCCAGAATCAGACGAATCAAAGCTATTGTCATAAATGTCCTTAGAATTCCCTTTTAATTTGATTTTGGCTGGAAATGGCTCATCTGGCACAATTTCAATGTTACCATTTAGTATATCTGCATTCTCTCTTGCGAGATCAACATCAAGCCAATCGTGTATAGGGTCTAAAGATTGGTGAAAAAGGGATGGTGTATAGAGAATCTGAAAATATTAATAAGCATTTCTAAGCAATATGTTTAAGATGATTTCATATGTCAACTAGATTTATATATTGAAGGTTTAAGAAGTACAATTATTTATATATTACATCCAAATCATCCTCAAATTCCACGGATAATCTTTTGTCAGCCATGTTTAAATCACCTCAGGAAAGAATAATAACACTCAAAATTATTTAAGTGTTTTTTAAAGATAAGTACTACTAGAAGCTATGATAGATTGAAAGTTTTACTAGAGCAATGAAACTGAAGTGTCAAAAAAATACGTCGCCATGTTAACTTTCATTTGACAGATATTACTGTAATATAGAGTTAACTGTCTCAAATTTTAAAAGTTATTTTGTACTAGAATGCAGTGCAGAAAAGAGAAAGTACTATAGTCTTTGTCTGGCATTTGTCAACTATAGAAGTAAATGTAAATTTGACAATTTAATTTTTTAACACAACTGAAATTAAAGCTACAAGCAAATTTTAATTAATATTGGAAAAACACAAACTCAGTGGAACATTCTTTGAAGACACCAATATTGAAAAATTGTTACTGAAAAACTATTTAATTACAGTGCTAATACAGGTACAAAAAAAAAAAACATTTTTTAAAGAAAAGATGCTATTATTTGAGCATCTACATATATATTTTTAAGTACAGGGCACAGCTACAAATGGTCATGTGAATAATTTAACAACTTTTGCAAATATTGAAAAAACTTGAACAATTTTTTCCATGTTGTTTAAAGCAAATAATATTTGTTTTAACCTCTCTATACAATTTTTCGTTTTACCACCTATTCTATATCAAAAAAGTAACCACTCTCAGCGGACTGAGGCTTAAAGACTTAAACTGTTGACGTTCGATTGCATTCGGACTTGGTGTTGTTCCATCAGTCTATCCGATAGATGGGATTAGAGAATCGGACTACCTAGGTCTTTGCTTACACTTCGGCAATAACTTTGCCTGCAGAACTCTTTCAAGAGGGGAGTGGGAGACAGTATTGCTTACAACGCCAGGAAAGATAGCAATCTACACCGACGGGTCTAAGATAGATAAACGCATTAGATCTTTCAGATTCCACCTTAATATTTAAGGCAGAAATCTCCGCCATCCTTAGAGCATGTGCTCTTGCTTGGAAAATGGACTATCGCAGAAATGAAGCCTGCATTCTTATTGACAGTCAGGCAGCCATTAAAGCCTTATTAGTGGTCCAGATTAGTGCAAGAATGTAAGGAATTTATTGATGCACCAAGTGGAGGTCCAAGGTAACTCTAGTTACCTTACGTTTACTGTGTCTATGTCCAAGCTTAACCAGAATTAAACTTAGGAATCTAGAGTCCTCTTCTTCCACATACTCGGCGATATCTCTTGCCTTAGTATTGGCCAGATTCTTGCCTATGTAAATGCCTCTGACTGGTTCTAACTTGATCTTTTCGTTACTACCCATTATTATGGGGTTTAGTGGATTGAAAACGGCTTTCTTAGTTAATTCAGGAGGATTCAATTCTCCCTCTACCACAACTAACTAACTAACGTCTTCTGTGAGTAATACATTATTTTTCATATTTATTACCGTTTCTTGTATTTAATCTTCTTTTCAATAAGTTTCTATATTCATATTACATACACCTATTTATAGTTCCACACTTTTACCTGTTCCTGTTTTATATCTGTTCCACATTTTTAGATTGCTTATTTTCTATTCATCAATTTATTTATCAATTTATCAGTATGTCTAAACATAGTATAAGAAAGAATTATGTTCAGTTGATTCAGTTGATGTGAAATACCACACATTTTTCAGCCTTTATAGACCCGAATGTCTTTTGTCTTTAAGCTTTGCTACTAGGTCGTATTTAAGATGTTTTGATAGCTGCATTCTAGATACAAAATACAGATACATTTGTTTAATAGGCTATTTAAGAAAATAGGCTAGTAAGTCTAAAGGGCCTTTTACACATTTCATTTATTTTAAGGAATGAATGGGTAAACATCGCTTAAATGTATCCATGATTTTATTTTCTAGTATATTTGTTGTTTTTTTCTAGTACATGTCTAAATTAATGTCGACTAATTTGATATGTAATAGCAAGCGACGACATCGATCGCTGACAGCGACCGAAATGACAAAAACATTTCATATTAATAATTAAAGATGGTGACTTTAATAATTTTTTTAATATAAACTAATCGCAATGGTGAATAAATTGAATTCTGTGGGGAATATATCAAACGGTGTGGTGTGTTATTTTACAGCACTGAGAGTGTATCGCAAAATGTGTCAGATGTATCAGATGTCTTTTCTTGGTATTGATAAATTATACTTTTTTGTAATTTCATAAAATTGCAAAAAAGAAACTTTAGTGCAGTTATAAGTAATTGTGTAATATTTGAATCCAAATGAACAAATTACATGTGTTCTGCACAGCTCAACGATCATATTTAGTTAGAAGTAAATATTTAATAACTTTGTATACAATACATAATTACGGGTAAAAAAAGTCTATGAATATATTCTTGACTTTGGAAGTAGTCTTTAAGAAACGTTCAAATAAACGCAATATTGTATTACGTGTGTGCAACTGATAATTCAAATTTATTATAAATCAATATCAAAGGTTTAATAAATTATGTATAAAGTTTTAAGTTTATACCTATTTAACTTACAGATGTAACAGTTTATTATTTATTTTATTGAATACTTCTTTGAATTTTAAATACCTATACACATTTAGAAAGAACACCCCGGATTTATACAAAATCTAACATTTAACTGAAAGGATAGAATATTTTTTTACACTGATAACCCTGCACCTACTCTGGTTATAATTTCGGCGAGATTTTCGCGCTTATATATATATTTATTAAATTTTCATATATAATACGTATTATTGTTTAAACATAAAACTCTTACCAAAGTCTAGCTAATGTAGACTCCATGTAATTTCAGTGGCGTACACGTAAATAGTTTGGTTTTCTACTTCTGATGTGCTAATATAAATATTGCATATAAATATCTAAAATTAAAGTTCTTATAATACAGTATATTATTTTAAATAAAATCAAATAAAATATGCTTTTAAAAAGCGTTAATTGCAATATTTATTTTTAAGTAATACTATTTTCTCCAAATTTTAATCCAAATTTGTCTTTTGCTCTAATCTTGAAATGATCAATTCACAATAACATGACCATGACTGTCTGCATAACATAGCCCTTAAAGCCTCTGGCAGTTTAATTACAAAGCTAGCATATTAATAAATTATTAATGAATATATAATAAATAAATATTAAGTAAATATAAATATTAAATAAAAATAAAAATTAATATAATTAATTGGTCTCAAAAGGAAAATACAGTTAGTCCACTCCGAAACATAGGATCACTAAATTGATTAGCATTTCCGGATTTATTTAAAGATAATGGACAAAAATCAATATAAACTTTCCAATCGGGTGTCTTTTACACTGATTATAATTATGTAATGAACAAGATGTGTTCACGATATCAGTTTTCAATATCCATGCAAAAATGTGTCTAATTAGAATTCGATAATTTTAAGTGCTATAATCTAGCTTGTATTTTCGATGACTTTTGAGAACTATCCATGCAAGCAAAGTGTGTATTGTAGCTGTAGTAAAATACATACCACGACGTGGAAAAGCTGCAATAATAATCGTTCAAATTTTTTTATTTACAGTAGAATATTGTAAACTATATGATGAATCAATCAATTATATCCAATTCTTCAAATGATAATGATGATAGTATGCCAAATCCACCAATCCAATATATCAGCCTATACACTGACGACAACATACGCGCAAATTGTGCACCAGCGCCACCACCACCAATTCATGGTATCTATCAATCTTTCGGTATGTTTGTAGATCCAAAAGAAACGGTACCAGTATCATTGGAAAATAATAAAATAAAAAGAATAATACCGGTGCACTTCGATCGTCGCGAAGAAATGAAAAAATTAAATATGTCGATTTGCATTTCGTATTTAGACATGCTTGATGTGTTAGGTACTGATGATAATGAAGAAATATTGAAGCAGAAGGTAAGATTAATAAAATTTATTTAAGTTAAACTTATTGTTTTCAAAATAATTTGCAGCTGAAAGATATTGAATATCTTTTCATTCATTTTCACCATTTGATTAATGAAATGCGTCCACATCAAGCACGTGAAACTCTTCGTGTTATGATGGAATTGCAAAAACGTCAGCGTGTTGTGACACTATTATCATTCCAAGAGACTATGGTGCAAGTTTGGAATATGATTAAAAATATTTTTCCTGATTTCGATATAGATGATCCAACTGATTATTCTAACGCAGATTCACAGTTACGCAATGCTACTGAATGCAACAATTTACTTCGTGAAGAAAAGGCTGCTAGAGAAAAATACTTACAAGAACTTGAAGACATAAAATCACAAGGCTGTTCGAAATCAAGCAGCCAATATAAGGAGAATGCTGACAAGATAATAAATACTTCTGCAGTAGTAAGTGATAAGAAAAAACCAACATATCTGGAGGAAGTAATGGCTAAACATGATAAAGCAATGTCTGTATTTAACACTTTAAAGAATCAAGAACAAATAAAAGAACAAACTAAGTATATTTATAAAACCGAAGATAGCGCCCAATTGAAAGAAAAAATGCAACATAATAAGCCCAGCCTCCTGTCCGTAAAAAGCTTAAGTCAAAAAATTTCGGTTGAAAACGGTTATAAGAATGTAATTGAGTCAACAAATGAACCAGCTAGCAAACGTTTCAAATATAATAATGAAATGAACAAACAAAATGGGTTCTATAGTCTCACTAAGTTTGATGAGATTATGTGTACACTTCTGGATGCAATGGATTAAATTTTTTAACCCAAGAATTACTTTATTTAGTTATCACATATTTATATATACATATAAAAGTTTAAATTCAAAATATACTTCACACTGAATTTGCTATACATATGCTAAAATATATGTGTTTCTAAATAAAAAATAAATTTTATAATTTCCTGTAATTATTATTAACTAAAATTCTTTAAAATATATCAAAGAAATAAATATATAACATTAATAAATAAATAGTATTTTTACTGGGTTATATTAGTTAAAACTTTTAGATTTATTAATATAGATATCAGTGTGGTTAAAATCAGTTATATGATACACTTCCAAATACTGTCCGTTATTAGCTTATTCTTCTTCTTCTTTATTTGTCGATTCGATTTGGAATATAGGTGATCAGATGATAGTATACAAAATATACAAAATATAAGTTAACATAAATACAATTATTGCTTAGTCTGATGAAGTGATAAACAACAATCTAGTCAAGGGTTTTGAAGAAACCTCGCAGTTAATAGAGAGTAAAAGTGCTCAGATGCACTGACTCAACTAGCCTCAACACAATAAATACAAATTTTAATATACGCAATGTTATGAATTTTTGATTATTACTAAATATTTGTCCCTATTTCTAGCCGCATTTACAGGGTTAGCTATATTTTGTATTCCGGTCCATTATCTAATATTTTTTAACTATGCAAAATTGTTTTTATCCGATTCCCTATTATCCTTTGATTTTGGCTTGTATGATTAATTGTACCAGCTTGTACTTACGATTTCTTATGGTAAGCTTGCACTAACAAGAGATTTAGTTATGCGAACGAAAGCTACTATGGTTTTAACTCAATAACGATATCCGAGAATCGAAGGACGAAAAAGGACCCATCCGAATGCAGTATCAAGAATTTTTTAAAATTGGATAAATTTGTGGAACTTCGTGATAAGGACATACATATTTATTAGTGGGCTAGAATTTTTTTACCATGAATTCATCCAACCCTTCTTATAAGACTTTAAGCAATTATATCAATTATGCCTAATGAGTTATCTCATTAGGCGAAATTATCTTAATTGTACCTTAACAAGCAATCAATTAGAGCTCATGACAAATACGTTAATGCATATAAAAAAAAGAGTATAATATAAAGCTGAAGTGCATATGTATGTAAAGATATGTATGTTACTTTAGAACATAAGTTCTTTACAATGTTTTTTCTTGCCGAGAGTGATGCGTCTTTATGACGAAAAGAAACTATTTAAAAGTTAGATGGATTCGAATAGCGAAGAAAAGACACGAACAAAAGTTTAGTTAATTTATTGAAATTTGGCTGACAATACTACTCATGATCAGTGGTTTTAGAAAATATTCTAATAACTTTTTAATTAGTTTATAGTCCGTACATAAGTACTTCATTGAGTCTTGTCATTAGAAATAGTATATAATATTATTTAAATTTCTTCCACTAGACATCTTACAGTAATACATTTTTTACTGTATATACTTTTGAAGAAATTTTTATTAACTTTTTATGGATATTTTTTTATCCTGCCCCATATTAACACTAATAAACACACTACTTAATTAGTCTCACTGATAACATAACTGAATATGTACGAATATATATAAAATCTTCATTAAGTGATTGGCAAATAAAAGTAGTTCACATCTAAGATAAACTTCCAAATCTATCAATGGACACAAAAGTTAAACACTAGAAGCAGAAATATTATGCAAATTGTTAAATCTAGTAAATAATTTTTTAATTTCATGAATATATTGACTATAATTCTAGATAATTATGCAGTTTTAAAACTAAATAAAATTATTATTTTAATTTTTGTTTATATTAATTTATTGAGATTATGTGTGAATAAATATCTATTAACGAATGTTTTTGTTTTCCATAACTGGAAAAATTAGTTGACTCAGTTAAATATTATAACAGTTCAATAATGTTGTTCAATATATTTGAAATCAACTTTTAAAAATTGATGAGAAAATAAATGAATATATCGTTTTTAAAATTTTGATGAATGAATGAGCAAATCTTTAGCTATTTTTTTCATCATAACAGACATAAATAAGCACAAAGGGAAAATAGAGCACGATCGACAAGTAATGAGAATTTCAAATTTGTACATTCTGTATTTTGTTTATAGAGCTGTTTTTATATATTGGTTGAACTGTTAGTAACATAACTGGCCATATATATGCAAACTTATATACACATATATATATAGTTGGCACGTACGTTAGCATGGGATATGCTAACAGTAAAAGGACCTATTTTCCTACAACAGGTCCGAGAATAAGGTGATATAAAATATAAATGTATATATATATACATGGTATACCATATCTATATATATATATATATATATATATATATGCCATATCTTACCCAATGCTAACGTACGTGCCAACTGAATACGATTTTTTTTATCTAACAGTTCACGGTGAAAAATAATATTACTGTAACCTTCCTAAGTATCTAAATATTCGCTCCAAAAATATTTCTCAACTGGAAACTGTGGCAACAAAAGTGCCTATTATTGCTTTTTTAAGCTATGGTCTATTAAACATAGAAGATGAAATAAAGACTTTTTAATGAAATTATCATTACTTTTCGATCTAACTGGTGCAAGACTGCCCTGATAAGCTAAATCTGTTTGGCGAATCAAATTAGCTGTCGATTCTTTGAGTACCGAGACATACTGGCTTACGTGGAAACGAATACTCAGATAAACTATTCTGGAAAAAACATTACAATGTTCAATACACAATGTCAATTATTTGACATTATGTATGTTTATCTAATTCAATCAACATATTTGAAGTTGACCTTTCTTGATGCATATTAGCACAATTCACATTAGTTATTGTTACCTATAACAATAGGAGATAACAGGATTGTATGAACTTATCAAAATAAAAACTTAGAATCAGAAATCATAACAGGGCACTGTAAACTAAAATACCATCTTGCAAGACTGGGTATACCTAAGGTTGCAAACTGTATATACTGCGAAGAGAATGAGGCTACACATGTGTTGTTAGAATGCCCTACACTAATGCACAAACGAAATAGATCCTGGGAATGTGTATTCTTACGGAAGAGTCAATAAAACTTCGTAAAGTAGGTTCTATACTACTTTTTATTGACGCAACAAGGTTTAGAGACCTTCTCTAAACCCAGAAGAAAGCACAATATAAAACTAAATACAAAGTACTAATATCATCTGCTTACAATTGAAATATGAACAATGAAAAGCTATTCTAGAGTTTTTACATAACTTTCTGACTAAAAGCTCTTTAAAATAAAATAATAAACTTATGCCAATGTAAACGATTAAACCAGAAATTGATTAACAATATTTATTATAGCTGCTCTACTTAGCACTATCTAATCTCAGAGTAATCACTAATCGCACGGGGCAGTACGCAGATCCTAGATCAATCATTTAATAATGACGAAGATTATGAGGAATACTCAAATTAGTCAGTGAGATGGGTGGGACTCTGCAGAAACCCCCCAGCCATCATAGAGTAAAAGTGCCCAGATGCACTAAATCGGAAAAGGCCCAACATAAACTGCAGTGAAAACATGATATCACATTAAAATAATAAATAAAAAATTTAATTTAAAAAAAATTTCATATAAAAATATATTGTTGCATTTTTTTTTTTTGGTAATAACAAGTACTCAAACCAGTACTACACTGTACCTGTTTTTTGTCGACTATGAGAAAGCTTTTGACTCCATCGACAGAGAATGCATATAGGCTGAGCTAAGAAATATTGAAGTCCCAGAGAAAATTATATCGGTCATACGTGGCACCTATGAAGGATTTAAATACTCAGTTGTACACAATGGAAAGATGTGTAAACCTTTTGCTACTGTTTTAGGCAAGGTTGTTTGGTGTCAGTATTGATCTTCCTCATTGTAATAGTTGCAGTAACATGACGGACGACCAATCGCTCATGAATCATCTAAAGTTGGTTTACTAATAAACGCTGCCAAAAGAAAGGAAATACGAATCAAAGCATGATCAGAAGAACCGCTAAAGCTCAATAATGAACCAATTGAATGCGTTGAGGTGTTTCAATATTTAGGTATCATTGTAATGTCTAGTGGAGGTACACAAGCAGATATGGCTGACAGAATAAAGAAAGCAGTGGCCGCATTTACACGACTTAATACAATTTGTGGTTGTCAAACTTTTGTAGAACAAACACTAAAGTCACTATATTTAGGGCATACGTTTTATTAGTTCTTCTTTATGACTGTGAAACATGGTTTATGACAGAACGACTGCAACATAAATTTCGCAGGTTTGTCAACCGCTGCTTCCGCACAATCTTCCGCGTTTTCCGGCCTAATATCATCTCGAATGAAGAACTGTGATCAAGAGCAGGCATGATAGATATAAACATCGAGATTCGACGACGAAAATTCGACCTAAAACTGCATGGATGCGTTCCACATTAAATGAGATTTGCTTGCACACCAGAAATATAAATTACAACCCTATAAGCCAGATTAGGGAAACGGCTTTATATAGAAGACGATGGAAATTACTGCTATAAAGCTTGTTCCCAGCATAGAGGTAGCTCGAAATTACTTGATGTCAAGCAAAGCGTAAATAGTAATAAATAATAGTACTCGAAATAAAAATTTATGTACTAGAAGTTATTTTTAACCAATATCTCTGACCCACATATGACCAAAGTGAATTTAAATTCCTTATAAATACAAATTTAAATAAAAAAAATAAAAAATACAACCTTGTTAGAAATTTTTTTTATTAATACTTTGTAGTTATAAATTAACTAATGTCAAGCAAATAACTTAACAGTTTAATTTGTATATGTGAGTTAAGTTTGTCAACCATACCAATTTTATATTGATATAATAAAAGTGTATCCGATCTTAGGTTTCAGTTAAAAGTTTGTATTATTTAAAAAGAAAATGGCTAAGAAGAATATACAGTTGATGAAGTTTAACATTGGCGACCTGGTTTTTGCCAAAATTAAGTACTATCCAGCATGGCCGGCAAAAATAACAAAAGCCGAAAAAAATAAGTTCATTGTGTATTTCTATGGAACTGAGGAAACTGGAATTGTTAAACCCGGGAACCTTTTTAAATACAAAGAAAATAAGACAAAATTTTGTTCCGATAAAAATCTAAAGCGTCCCAACTTTCGCGAAGCAGTTGAACAAATTGAAACGGCTTTAAAAAGCACAGATACTGGCCAAAAATGTACACCGAATGTAGTCGTATCCGACACAGCACATGATAAATCTATTGTGGATGATTTTCCAAGCGATAATACATTTGTCAAACAAAACAAAAATATAAATCCAGCCAAAATTGTAAAAAAGGATAAAAAACGAATAGGCGGCAAAGCGGTTAAAAATATCACAAGAATTTCTCAAGGGAGGGTCTCCAAAAAAATCAGTCGCAGAGGTCGAACAATTAAAGTCAAGCAATTTTCTAGGAGTTTCATAGGTGTACTAACACATCAAGCACACCGCAGAGTTCGAAAGAGAAGTATGTAAAGTATGATGTATTATGAAGTATGATTTAATAATATAAAAAAAATGTAAGGTCACTTGAACGTGATTTGTAAGACATGGCATGATATCTTAAATATTTGTAAATTTGTTTGTTTGAACCAAATAATTCTTCTGTTCCTATAATAATACTCAGTTGGACACGATTTGTCAAGCTATTTTTATGCAACATTTATATAAGCTTGTGTATAACTATTGTAGTTTTTAAGTTAAAAAACTAATATGATATATATTTTAGGAATCGGTGTAAGAAAAGCTAATATAAAATCAACAAATGAGACTGATTCTAATAAGCCAACGTCGACGTTGGAACCAAAAAATGATGACATGATTTTTGGTCTTATTCCGCCTAAAAAATATTTTGGCATAACATTTGGTATGAATAAACCGGAATCATTCACAGATGCAAGCGAACGTGTAGAATGGGAAACCGCAGCACGGAAAGAGGCAGAATTATTAAAAGAATGTTTAGAAATTGGCGAGGTAAAACTAGAAACAGTAAAAGACAGACTTATCTTAGATGTCCCACTTGAAAACCTTACTGGTGAAATTTCTGAAATGTTAACTGCACAAATGGTTAAGCGTAAAGCCGCTGTCATGGCTGAAATGAATTTTCTTAAACTATGTGAAGAAATACGATCATGCTTAGGGCTGAAGAGTGTATACCTTGATAAATGTCTAGAGCTATTGGACAATTTTGAAAAGTTCCAATTAAATCAATTGATTTTGTTGCGCAATCCAGACGGTGTCGACATCATTCGTCGCTTGTGTACCTATGTAGGAAATTTCAAGCAATGGAATGTAAGTACCGCCGAAGAAGCACGTCTTGATACAAAAGCAGAAATAATCCGTCAGGTTGCAGAAACTGTTTACAATAACATTAAGGAATTGTTTGATTACAATGGCGAAATACAGTTCTGGGACAAATTCACTGAGGATGCAAAAATATTTGAGGAGGTAACACAAAACTTAGGTGAACGACGTCGAGTGTTATTGACCGAAAGTTCTTATCGAGAACTGTTAGCAGCTAGAAGCTGAGTTAAATGATTTTTAAGATACGTAAATCAATAAAATGATTTAATAATACAATATACACATTCTTTAAAAATCATTAAACCTTTTAATTTCTTTTTTTAAAAACATTAAATTTACCACTGTATTTTCAATTTATGGGTAATACTTTCTTAAAAGAAATTCATGTGATGCAATATCAATTATGTTTAAATAAAGTAGCATCATAATAATTGACTAATTTTTGTTGGTTAGATGCTTTTGATCTGATTTTCATAGCATTCAGTAAATTCCGGAAGAAGTTGCGAGCGGCATTTGGTCATCGATAATCATCTTAAATTCCATTAATGCATCTTTTATATATAACTTTTGCAGATCCTCTATATCTTGATAAGTCGGTTTGGTTCACCTTTCCTGCGCACAGTGGTATTTCTTTTGAAGACTTTGTTGAGTAACACTTTGTTTTAAACAAAGACAATACAAAAAGTTACATATTGCACTACTGAATTCCTTTTAAGATAATACGTATTTTATTTTATACATTAATTTATGTTTATGCATTTTAAAAATGAATTTGTTTGGAATATTAGTAAATATTAGTAGTACTGTTTATTTCCTTTTTCGTTTTTTACATTATTCTGGCGTCGAGTTTCGATTAATTATTTAGTCTCACCTATTTGGATATTTACGTCGCATTACTAAGCGGACAGCTGTTTCTTCTCGGAAGCTTTTTACCACGTCTATTTCCTTTTTTTCTACATGATTATCCTCTTTGAATTGTTTTACATGTTTTCGTTATTATAACTGCTGTTATCAACACTTTAGTGTCGGAATTCTAAATACATATATATGTATGAGTATGTTATGTATACGTATATATGTATATATTGTTTTTATGTTTATTAATCATCTTTTCAAGCATTTCTAAATAGCTTATTACTGCTGTTAATTCGGTTTAAAGACACATACTTTAAACCGTTCTCTGATAGGAACCGACAATAATAAAAATTTTTTGGAATCCTTAAACGAGCACAGTTCTTGAAAACAATGAAGAGCAGATTACACCTAAAGGAAGGAAGACTGAACAAAACAAAGGCATTACAGAGAAATAGTTATAGCTGCTAGAGAAAAAGTTGACTACCAATGATATATACACATTTATTTTAGATTTGTTGCCGTTTGAGGTAAACAATTAAATAGCATGTGGCCTAAACCTTTAACTCGTCTCATAGGGTCCTTTCGTCCTCTACCGACGGACCGAAAACGCCTAACATAATAAGAACATGCAATATTTAATGCTTTTACAAAAACAAATAGCACTGAAATTTAACAATAGGCCTTTTCGGTGGCTCTAAAGTACGACAGAAAACAGCAAGTTGCTGGCTTATACTGGCCTATACTAGCCGAAATGTACACAAAACAACAACACTATTTTCTATACCTCGGCCAGTATAGGTATACTGGCCAAGCACATCGGCCAGGGAAAAAAAAGTGTTACCAACGCAATAAGCAAACTAGGTATTGTGAACCTTCATTGGAACTTCCAAAGAATATTGCAATCATATGTCAAAAATTATATGTAAATAAAAATTCAAATAGAATTCAAAAATTTCATAAATTTAAAAATTGGAAAAAAAGAAAAAATTTCAGTTAAGTATGGCTTTGGTTAATTTGGCAAATTAACACTGACTATAAGTTTCAAATTTGGAAGGGTATAGATTCGATATTTGATATTTGCAGTCTCAAAAAATTATTTACGAATAATTAATTATATGAAATAAAAATTCAAGACCAATGATGATGGGTACTTGGCAATAATCAAAAAAAGCTATATGATCCGTTAAAAATTTAATTAATAAAAAACAAATAATTGTTTTTTAATAATAAAAAAATAATTTTTTGTTTTCAATCATTTTTAAATAATCTTCTTGATTCTTGATTCTTCTTCTTGGGTTAGTGCTATTACGCATTTTTACTCTATAATGGCTTGGGGGTTTATCTCTACCCCACACTAGGCTTTAACTAGGCTAAGAAATCGTATCATTTATTTGTTGATGATGGACCTTAAATCATCATATCTTCCTGAGAGTCCAGAAGTGGACTTGAGGATTGTTAGGGCGAATTAAGTTGCGTATCAACTTTAGTGAATAATTTTAGAGCTCTTTTTAGAGCAGCTATTCCGTTTGTATTTCAAATGTTTAAGCTAATTGAACCGTTTCTCAAAAATGACCCCCAGATATTTTATGTTATCCTCCCACCGTATCTCCGTGTCACAAACGCTCACTCTTGGAGGATGCTGTCTTCTTTTTCGAGTTATAAATATAGCCTTGGTTTTGACATTATTAATTTTAATCTTCCATTTTTGGAATAATATTATTATTGTGATTCACATTTCAATTCAAAATAGGAACTATTAAGTAAATAATTTCTTTCATCATTCATTTTAAGAACATATGTAATATCCTTAATTTAAAAGTTAAAATTCTTATTAACAAGTGTTGTTGAGCCAAATTTAAAGTATTTCTGCATAGGGACGTACTTTTTTATTAACCCTAATTTATAAGATATGTAAGTACTTGAATGTATTAAAATTTGAGTGAATTAAGTAAACATAAAAAATCAATTGCTTAATAAATTATATATGAAATTTTTATTAACCACTTATATTTGTTTTAAAACTAGTAGTAATTAATATCAATTCTTTTATTAAATATTAATTTAATAAGTAAGAGTTAGAATCATATTTGCATTGTAGTTTCATATTTAGATACTTTGTTGCTACAACTTTATTTTGTATAGCATTTATTTTTTATTTTGACTTTTTAATAAAATCGCAATAATATTTATTGTGCAATTTTATTTTTGTTTTCTTGTTTGATAATAAAATATATATATAAAATATGAAATAAATATTTATAAAATATTTTTTATTTTGAATTTAAGTACATTTCTGAAAGAATTGCAAATCAACAGAAGAAACTTGACTGACGAAATTTTATTAAACACTTTTATTAGCCATAAACATAAATTATTTTTATGTATAAAGGTGATTAGAATTTTTAATAATTTTTTATTTTGAACAGTAAAAAATAATTTTATTTTTGTGTATTTTTAGAATGCTGATATTTAATATTTTTTTTTTGTAAAAAATTTTAATAATTCTTGTTAAAAAGTGAATCTTGGTTTGTAGGTTTTGTTTTCTTTTCATTTTCTCATTTCTTTTTTTAATTCATTTAATTTATTATGTTTTTGTTTAAAAAATTAAGACCTGATTTTATGTTAATTTTTTTCCAAGTCTTTTGTAATTTTTTTTGAACATCTGTTTAAACATACAAATTTAGTTAATTAAAAATTTATACAAAGACTTTCGATTACTATTCAAAATAGTCAAATTTCCGTTGAAAGCTTGGATTGAAATTAAAAAAAAAAATAATAAACAGAAATAAAATATTAATTTAAAGATTATTTTATTCTTAATTTATTTTTATTAAAAAATATATATTTTCTACAATGTATATTAACATTAACATATTTTTTTGACTTGCCTTAACCATCGATTCGAAAAAATTTATTTAATATTCTTTTATTTTTTGATTAAAATAAATAAAAGCTCAAAATAGAAATGATTTTATGCAAAAAAGTAGTCAGCTATTTGTAAATATTTCAGTACATTAAAATTATATTTATTTAGAGATAATTATAAATTAATAGCTTTTTATGTTCGATTCGTGCAAGTGCTTAGTGCAAGTATGGGCTACTAATAGCGTGTGTATGTAAACATCTAGAAAACTATATGGTTTATGTACATATACTTCAAATCTACATAAGCATATAAACTACCATAAGTGCTTGGCATCCAAAAAAAGTTCATCGTTACTCTTAATATTGAAAGCGTAAAGCTTAAACTATGAAACCCCAATTTTATTGAGTGCGGTTTTTCCAGGCTAAGAACGTCTTATGGTTTTGAGTTTTAAATTTTTAAGGTATACAATAGAAGAGAATAATAACCGATTTATATATATTGTGAATATTTCAATTATGAGTTTTATTTTCTATTTTGAAATTCATATCAAAACGAATGACTTCTGCTTTAAAGTGGTAATTTAATATAGAAATGTACAAAAGGATTTGAGGGCAGCAATTTTTCTCATTCAAGGGCTTTCATTTCAAACAATTCACTCACGCATATAAAATATATACATAACCTTTGCTAAAAAAAAATAACCTTTGCTAAGACGTTTTTAATGTAGAAAATAAGTAATTAAAGATTCTTAAAAGTAAATGTTTTCCGGAATAGGTCGACCATATCAATCTGCTTGTCTTTTTCTTAAATTTTTGTTTCAACATAAACTACTCTCTACATTGGTATGATCCACAAATGAATTTAATAGATACGCTTTTAAGAATGGACTTTCAAAACTTGCCGAACATCAGTTAAGTATTTTTCATAGTTGCCATACAAGTCGTGATTACATCACTCAAAATCACTTCGATTTGGTTTTATACTTTAAATTAAGGTATATTCAAATTAAGGTATATGCATAACTATTATTTATAAGTCGTTTGTCTTACATGTGCTTCTGTATGGCGCATAAGCACATCCTAAAGAACTATGAGCTGTACGAGCTTTATCGCGGCATTAATATAATTCAGTGAATTATATCCAGCATCTTGATTAGCTTGGTAATGTCATAAGAATAGAAAAATACGCTCCAGCGAAGAATTTTTTTTAAAGCGGTAGAAGGCCTAGAAGACGAGCAAATGAACTGCAACAAACAAACCAAACACCGACTGAGTGAGCAATAAAATGCAGAATATTCCAGGACTAACTCTTCGGAAACATACAAGAATATTTAATAGACATTTACAGTTAAGTTCTCATATCAAGAAATATCAAGATATCAAGAAACATAAGATCACCAAATATGCAACAGTAATTTGTACTAATTCTATATAGATAGTTTAATTATTTTGTTTGAAAATAAGTCTAAAACATGTTAATAATATTCACAATAATAAAACTCAGACCAATAAATTTTTAAATAACATTTCAAAAATTTTTT